GTGAGATGTCACCGATATCATCTGCAGGCGAGTCTGCTCGCCAATATCATCCTTAAATCCTCCAATCTTAGGGTACTGTTCTCGGTCACCGATCCAATCACAAGTCCTCAATACCATCATCATCATTACCACCATCTGCAGCAGTATCATCGATATCATTATCATCATCATTACTATCATCCTTATAAAAATCATCATTAATCCAATCTCTCGCTAGGGGGTCATTACCGATATCATCTGCAGGTGAGTCCACTCGCCAATACTCTCCTTATTACCCTTTGTCTTAGGGCACTGTTCTTGTCAGCATTTAGTATTTTCTTTTCCGGCACTTTCATCATGATTTTCCTTTTTTCATGTTCACTCTCTTGAATGTTTCCATCCTGGGATCTCCATCACAAAATCTTACTCAACTATACACTCCCCTCATGATATTTTTTTCTAGGTTAATTGGCCGCTTCATCTGTCGGGTGTGCTTCAGTCTGGATAGGGCTTCTGTGGTCACGGTTTGGATTCTTGGGGGAAGGGTGGGGGTTGGTATTGGGGACCCTTACTTTACAGGGGCGCTGCAAGGTGGGAGGTGGCTGCCCTGTCGGGGGTGGGGCAGATTTGTGGTTTACCCTTGTCTGGGGCCGGGGTGGGAGAGTTGGTCGCCTTCAACCCCGGCGGGGGCAGATAGGGATAAGGGGAGGGCGAAGGTATCCTCTAGGAGGGAATTGGATGCCTTTGCGGATGGGGGGAAGGAGGGGGTCTGTTCCAGGTTGGGGCTGAGGTGTTTTTCCTCGGCGGTGGCAGCATGGAACAGGGTTTGCGGGCAGGGGGAAGTTTCTTTGCGCTGTGACTTTTGGAAGCTTCTTGGACAAATTATGGTATATTAAGCCATCCGGGGTTCTGAAAACTAGAGCTGCATCTGGTTTTCTTCTTCAGTAGGATATTCGATTTCAGAGATGGTTGCGCCTGGACTGACATCGGCAGCGTTGCTCTGTTCTGTGCCCTCAGTTTGCCGATGCCAAAACGACGCTGGCCAGAGCTGGGGTGTTACCCTGTAACCTGCAACAGCAGGAGTGTGAGGCCTTGTAGAGAGATCTGGGGTTTGCCGAGGGAGGAAGGTAAGCCAGTGGCAAATTGTGGGGGACCGCCTTGACACCCTATGGGGTCGGGGATAGTCTTGGTGGCGAGAAGAGGTCAGCTATGGATGATGTTGGTCTGGTCAGTACTGTCTTTGAGTAGTAATGTCCTGGTAAAGGGAGGGCAAGGAGTTGCTCTATATTTAGGAAAGTGGAATGGCTGATATAGCATAGTATTCAAATTTTTAGTTCTTCATCAAAAAAGATTCTTAGCCGAAGCTGGGTAATGGCCCCAGCACCTCATATGTTGTGTAATAATTCATGTGGGACGCTGGACCCGGTTTCCAGCACGTGCTGCTCCCCASGAATAGATTGGAGCAAATTGTCCAACAACAACAGAAAAAGACAAAAAAAAAAACAAAACAAACAAACAAACAAACAGCATCATACACCTGAAACCAGATAGTCTTGACCTCGAACCGAAAGCAGAATTGCAACTTCAGTTCCACCAAATAAGAGCACAGCAAACGGTCACAAGTGACAATGTTGCATCATCATCAACAATGAACCAATGTCGAATCCCTATCTAGCACTCAGCGCCCAGACTACGAATGGCGGATCCTATCTAACCTATCTACAATGCCGCTGGTGACGTCAACAGCTTCCCGAAGTACGAGCAGATCTCGGCCAATGCCGTTCGCCTCAAGCACCAGGTATGTCTCACGATTCATTCACAACCTCGATCCCCCACACAGACGCCACGTGCACCCAAGGACCACCATGCGGCCCATGCAGCAACGTGCAGGCCAGCTTGGCTATGGCTGCCTGCTTCTCCCCTGCTCGCCCGTGAGCGCGTAGGCACTCGCTCCAGCAGCTGGCGCAGCAGCGCTTGCGCATAAGCAGCGAGTGCCCGAATGCCAAATGCGGAGGCAGGCACTTTCCTTTATGGAAGTGGCCTGCCTGCTGCGTGCTGCCTGGCTGCGCTGGGCCCCTGTCCAGAAGCTTCCGGTAGGCCCCAAGTGCCTGAGGCCAGAGTATTCCGCAGGGTCCCGGGTGGTTATGCGTGTCCAACTGCCAAGCGTGCTGTGTGCAGTTTGTGCCCCGTGTCTGTCCCAGGGCCTGTACCCAAAAACATAGGAAGGGCCTAGAAGCCCTTGACCAGATACTGTTGCCTACGACCTGGCTTCATTCAACCAACTGACGCAGCATAACCGTCTGAGCCCCACTTCGCGAAAAAGGACGAAATAGGCCTCACGTGATTTTACAGGGCCGCCTTCACTTAGGGCGGCCATCCTTGCATTACGTACCAAATATGGAAAAGACAAGCAATAACAAAGGAAAACAAAAAACGAACTCGTGGGACTTTTTCTACTTGCGTTGTGTGATATTGCAGCCCAATACATTTAGCTGAGTCTCAGTGTGAGTGTGCCCTCCAAGGTAGCTGTTGTAGTTTTCCCTTTATTTTTTTTTTCTATTTTGTACTCCTGTCATGATTGCTCTTGGATGGAACGAGCGTGCCTATCTCAGTTGGTAAATGGAGACCCAAGTTCGATTCTCAAACGGCCAAATGAAGCTGTGACCGTTCAGCAGGAAAGTGAGCACATCTCTAAAGCACTCTTGTCCTGTTGAGGGATGCTTTCCCCAGAACGAAATTCTTTACATATTTGTGCATCTGTATCTGGCACTATTCTGCCGCCAGATGCAGATGCTCTGTTTCATTTTCTGCCCCTGTTGCCACTTCCAGGGAAAAGGTAATGTGAGGATTGAGCCTCACATGGGCCACTAGGCCGTGGCCTGCCACCGCCTAAGGCCCCCAGCAAGTACAATGCCCGCCCTAAGTGAAGGCGGGCCTCAATTTGACATGGGGCTTAGGCCCCCAGCAAGTACAATGCCCGCCCTAAGTGAAGGCGGGCCTCAATTTGACATGGGGCCCCACTTTCGTCATTTCTGCATTGTCGGGCACCGGACAGTTACCACGCGCCAGTTGGTTGCTAAGGACATCAGACAGTTACCACGCGCCAGTTGGTTGCTAAGGACGTGGAATCCGGCCTCTCGGCCAATCAGCATGCAGGGACACGTCACAGCCTACGTGGGAGGCTGGGCACCCCTAACTGTTGCGGGCCCAGGCCACTGTCTGAACAGGCCTGGGTGCAGACACTTTGGCCCAACGTGAAGCTACTGGGCACACGCAGCCAGACCCAGGCAGGCAGAGGCCTGGAAGCACGTTCCATAAACGAAAGCGCCTCGCCCAGCATAGGGACATTCTGGCCTGGCAAGGCAGTGCAGCCACACTGCTACATTGTGCACTGGCGGGCTGCCTGGGCACTGGCCTGCGGAGGGCGGCGCAAGAGGTGAGAGGGCGTTGCGGCGGCAGTGGGCGCATGGCGGCCATAGCGGGGCTGCTGGGGTGCAGGCTGGTGATGACGATGGTGGTCTATGGGTAGGAGGCGCATGCTGTGGGAGGACAGGGGGTGATGAGGGGTGGAGAGAGACACGTACCTGGTGTATGCTGGCAGTCTGCATTGCCGACGTAGTGACGTACATTGGTCTTCAGCTTCAAAGTGATTCCTGTTGCATGACCGTAGAAAAGGCTAGTCTAGGGTGAGTGGTATAGGCTGGGCGCTGCACGTCAATCAGGAACAGCAACCTTGGATACTATGTTGATGTGGAGAGAGAGTGTCGACGTCGACATTTGAGTTCATTGTGTTGCTCTTATTTGGCTTGTATCTCAGTGCATTGTGCTTTCTGCTTGGTTCTCAACTATCTGGCCTCAGCGTCATTTTGCAATTCGGAGTTCTGTCTCTCGCTCTTGCTCATCTTCCTTGCAGTAATAGCTTGATTTTGCAATTCGGAATTCTGTCTATCACTCTCACTCATATTCCTTGCAGTAACGACGTCGTTTTGGGTAAGCACAGCAACCAGGAAAGAGTTGGTATCCGGTGAAACAGGTGACCGTTGAAAAAGGCGCAGGCACCTGTTTCAACGGGCACCAACTTTTGCTTTTTTCCCCCTGTTTGCCAGCTGGCATGCTACACTTTTTTTTCTTACTCCGAGGTATCTTTGGTTTGTTTTCCTCGTGTGCTTTCTTCCTCCCGTCTCATCCGCGTGTGCATTTCCACATGCGTCGATGAACCAGGAGGACAAGACGCATTCCATTTGCCCTTTCCGATGGCCGCACAAACTTGCTCCCGCAGCGCACAACCAGGCCTTCCCTGAGCCCTGAAATCTTCGGAGAGGCTCAATCGTGAATATCAAGTTGGCTGGGGCCATGTACTGGTGGTTTAAACAATGAATTACGGAGCTCAGTAGACTGCAACCAGACTGACCAAAGCTCCAAACTGCACACACAGTACACACACTTGAGCAATTTTCCTTTTGGTTCTGAGAGCGGAAACGAAGTGCAAGATATCGTTAGCAACCCCACTTCTTCCCATGGTCTGTGAAGTTTCAAGTACTCCTCACACACACACACACACACACACACACACAGAGAGAGAGAGAGAGAGAGAGAG